GGCCTCGTTACATAGCACAGCATGGCTGGGGCCGCCGGGGCCGCCGCGGCCGCCTCGTCTTTGGTGTGCGCGGGGCTGCCGCCTCGCCTCCGCTTGGACCCAGCCCCGGGCTAGGCAAAGGCTGCCCCTCGGGAGGCTGGAGCCCTGCAGACGCTCCCGGCGCTGCGGCCGCCGCTCCCTCTCGGCCACCCGCCCGCGCTCTGCCCGGCACTAGGCGGCGGCACCGCGCTCCAACAGCCCAACTGCCTGCGCCCCGCCAGGACTCCTCTGATATAGCGGCCCCGCCCCCTCCGGCCGGGGCCCCAGCCAATCACGGCGTCCGCTCCCCTCCTCCGTCGCGCCGCCAGCCAATAGCGGGGCCTCTCGGCCGTCGTCCCGGCAGCCCGGGGCGCCGAGCGCTGCGGGTAGGAGGGAGGCCCGGGAACCCACCCTCGGCCTCTGCCCTCTGGGCGACGCTGCTCGGATGGAGCAAGAGCTCGCCCGGGGCTCTGAGGCTGGGACGCCTGTCTGTCGGGGCTGCAGATTACAATCATGCAAGCCTTCGGAGCTGCTCTTATTCTGCAGCAGCCTTGGGCCGCTCCAATAACGCATTTCGGAATGTGAAAGCAAAGAGGAAAAGCGTAAAGGGAGCTGTTCTCCATCGGGGTTTGCCACTCTGGGTTGTTGGAAGGCCGCATTGGTTCTCATTTTAGACCTCGTGATTGAAAAAATACTGGTCTATAAAAGTTTTTTCCGTTGCCCAGTAAGCCAGGAAGTTCAGTCTCTTGCTTCTTGTATTAACTTTCTCCCCGGGCTTCTGTTTACCTGTTGTGTTGAATCAAAACCCCTCACAGCGCACTAAGGCCTTCCCGCAGGTTGCCCATCTTAACTCATGCCTTATCTCATTCATTCATTAACCATTCGTTGAGTACCTGCTGCCCCGCCCGCCCCTTCTCTCAGGCAACCAGAGGTTACCCCCATCGTTTGCAAAGGCGAGGGGCTCACTCATCTCAGGACCTAGCAAGTGAAATAACCTCTATACTGTTGTTAGTTGCTGTCGAGTTAGCTGTGACTCATAGCAATCTTTTGCATGACAAAGCGAAACGTTGGCTGGCCCTGTGCCATCCTCAGATCAGTGATAAGCTCCAGTCCATTGTTGCAACTGCCTGCACTTTGAGTGCCTTCCAACAGGGGGCTCATCTTCCAGCACTATTTTGGACCCTATGCTTGTGACCCATAAGGTTTTCATGGGCTAATTTTCAAAAGTAGATGGCTAGGGCTTTCTTCCTAGCTGTCTTAGTCTGGAAGCTCTGCTCAAACCTGTCCACCATGGGTGACCCTGCTGGTATTTAATCTACTGGTGGCATGGCTTCCAGCATCATAGCAACACGCAAACCACCACAGCACCACAAACTAGCAGATGGGCGGTGGATAAGCTCATAGTGGCTATTAATAATTAAAGGTCTACAACTCTTCCCTCACTTAGTACTTGCTTCCCTTCGCCAATACACGACTTACTCTATCTCCTTCAAAGTCTCTGGAGGTGTTTGGTTTCTTTATAGGAGAAGTCAGAAGATGTGGGGTTCAGCCTTGGAAACTCAGAAAAATCCTATCTCTGAACCTCAGTGTTCTCAACAGTAAAATGGAGACTGAGAGCAGCAGCAGAGATGATGTTCACAAAAGGGTGGTGGCGCAGTGGTTAAGTGTTTGGCTGCTCACCAAAAGGTGGGCAGTTCGAACCCACCAGGGGTTCCTTGGAAACCCTATGGGGCAGATCTACTCTGTCCTATAGCGTCACTGTGAGTTGGAATTGACTCGATGGCAATGGGTTTGGTTTTTTGGTTTGGTATGTGTAAGGAGATACATAAATGTTGACTCTGTCACTGCCTGCAGATGGCTTCTCCTGTTCCTATCCTTTTTTCCTGAGTCCCACATGTCTCTGTCCCAGTGGCCCTTATTTCTGATGAAGTAGGAAGGATATTAGAGCAGAAGGCTAAAGGGAGGGATATACACAGTCTTTCACTAATGCCAAGTATGGGTAAGACGGTAAACAGTAATTTAATATTTAGTATTACCCACCTATAGGTAACACTGTCGATAATACAAGTCCTGACATCAGTGTTGCCAGCTGACACGTGCTGTCTCGTAACCTTTTTGTGCCTTATGAATATACTCGCGTTACTGTGCCACTTGAATATCAACCCCTGTATCAACTCCTGTTCCTCGTTCTCCTAATTCCAGTTTGCTAATCTGGGAAATTTATCTGGGTGATAATGTTTGGATCTTGTTATCTAATCTATGTTTCATTGCTAGAAATTTCAGAAGAGGGAGAAGAGATCGAGGCCAGTCGTATTTGGTAACTTTTTTGTTTATGACTGACAGACACCAAAGTTGGAGAACTTCAGCGAAAGGGGATTTCGCGGAAGAGTTTTGGCGGCTCACAGATTCCCTGGGGACCAGGCGTGGAAATGAATTACTGTTGTTGCTGTTAGTTGCCCTTGAGTGAATTCCGACTCAGGGCGACCCCATGTGTGCAGAGCAGAGCTGCTCCATAGAGTTTTCAAGGCTGTGACCTTTCAGAAGCAGATCGCCAGGCCTGGCTTCCAAGCTGCCTCTGGGTGGGTTCGAAGTACCAACCTTCAGGCTAGTGGTCGTGCTCTTAACCGTTTTTACCACCCAAGGACTTCCTGGAAATTAGTGAAAAGGGCAAATATTGGGTGGCCAAAAGCAAAAATAAAAACAAACAAAAGTAAAACTAAACGAACAAAAATGAAAACCAAATATCCACTGTGTGAAGAAACTACTTTGAAAGGTGTTAGATATTTGGTTTTGGCGGGGATGTTTCCAATCCAAACCCTGTTTAAAAGAAGTTTGCATCCAGATCTTGCTCTTGCTATGGAACGGCTGGTAAAGGGCCTAATTGTGTTGACATTAAGAATCATCAGATAAAACGCAAGAGAAGGAGGGTTTCTCAAAACAAAAAAACAGGAAAGGGTCACTTACAACTGGAGAAAAAAAGAATACTGGCTTCTGAAGAGCTCTGGTGGAGCAAAGTCTAAGCAAAAGGCTAGTGGTTCGAACCCACCCAGTGGCTCTATGGGAGAAAGACCTGGCAAGCTGCTTGCATAAAGATGACAGCCAAGAAAACCCTATGGGGCAGTTCTACTCTGTCACATGGGGCAGCTGTGAGTTGGAATCAACTCAATGGCACCCAACAACACTGACAGTGATAGGATATATGAGACCATAATCAGTCAATCAGTCCATCAGTCAATGAATGAATGAATCAATCAATCCCTCTTTCTCTCTGGCTCATAATTTCTTCCTTGAGAAGTGATAGGAAGGGAGAGGCTGGCTAGTGAAGGAATATGAGAAGGCTGAATGTGCTGGTGGCTGGGTTAAGAAAGCACATTATGTGCAGATGACCTAGCTAGGGACTGAAAACCCAGAGTAGAATAGTTTCCTTGAGGAACTCACCATCTGGTAGTGTAACTGAACATCTGGAGCCAGTTTCCAGCCCCAGCTGGGTCTAACTCTGAAATAAGAGATTCTGATCACCCAGGCTTGGGGGTGGTAACTGTATTAGATGGAGCTGGGATTGAAGCAGGTCAGGATTAGCCAGCGAGGTGTTACATCTTATCTGTGTCGGCTCTTTCTGTAATCTTTTGCTTTCAGTTAGCTATTATCTTTTAAAGCTAGTGTTAAAATTAACCAGCATGGTAAAAGGATCAGCTGTACATGTATGTAGATCTTTAAGATAAAAACCATAACTAAGTGGTAGAGTTGGCTAACCCATCGGAGTTCTCGCTGTTCAAAAACATCCAAGCGCCACGTTTTTTTTCTCTGCCTTATATACTAGGAAGGTCCCTGGGTGGCACAAACGGTTTGTGCTCGACTGCTAACCTAACCTGTTGCCCTAGAGTCAATTCCAACTCATAGAGACCCTTTAGGCCAGAGAAGAATGGCCCCATGGGGTTTTCAAGGCTATAATCTTTATAAAAGCAGACTGCCACATCTTCCTCCCGTGGAGGGGCTGGTGGGTTCTAACTGCTGACCTTTCCGTGAGCAGCAAAACACTTTTGGTTTTCTGTAAAGATTACTGCCAGGAAATCCCTGGGGAGCAGTTCTACTCTGTAAAGCGTGTGGTTGCCATGAGTCAGAATCTACTGACGACAATTTTTTTTTTTTTAAAGATAATTTAATGGAATGATAATCTGGCTGTAAGGAGACCTGGTGGTACAGTGGTTAAGTGGTCAGTTGCTAACCAAAAGGGGGGTGGTTGGAACCTACCAGCTGCCCCTTGGGAGAAAGATGTGGCAGTCTGCTTCAGTAAAGATTACAGCCTTGGAAACCCTATGGGGCAGATCTACTCTGCCCTACAGGGTGGCTATGAGTTGGAATCAACTTGATGGTAACGGGTAGTCTGGCTGCAAGGAGCCCTGGTGGCCCAATGGTTAAGCACTCCGCTGCTAACTGAAAAGTTGGTGGTTCACCAGCGGCTCCTCGGGAGAAAAGTCTGGCAATCAGCTTCTAAAAAGATTACAGCCTAGGAAACCCTATGGGGCAGTTACAGTCTGTCATACAGGGTTGCTATGAGTCAAAATAGACTTGATGGCACTCAA